AAATAAAAAACAATAAAAAAATTCAAAGAAGCTGTAGGGGGGCTTTAAACAACATAATACCCATATACAGCTGAAAAATAATAAAAAAAGTAAAAAGAAAGGGGTCTGAAAGGGGACCAGCTAGTTTTGATAGTTAAACATGACCGAACAAGTCCATACTGATTCTCAATCCAGATTAGGTGATTTTCTATTGGGGCTGCATCTTTTGAAATGCTTGGAAAACCTAAATCTGATAAATGAATTTGATATAAATAAAAGTTAGTGTAATAAACTAGCTTTGATAATCCCGGCCCTTTATCTATATCGGTTATCTTTGCTGCGCTGGGGGTGCCATGCAAAATTCTCAAATAGTAGGTGGTCTTTTTTTTTTTTTGTAGTTTAATCATAGGGTTCGAACTTAGGACATTGTGGTGCAACAATGACGCCGTGACCACCAAACCTAATGGTGGCTCTCAAGTAAGACCTAGGCTTTGTGAAAAAAAAAAAACCTTATCTCAAATCTTTGTCCGGAAAGCATTTTCGATAATGAAAATCTTCATGATGATTTTAAAATCAATTTCCAACACCAAAAATGAAATCCTAATTTAAAAGATGGTACAGATCTTGCAGATTCATGAACACTTATTTTTAGGGCAAAATTGATGGTTTAGATAATATTTTACAATATACACTATTTTTAGAGCTTAAAATCCTATTTTTTTTACAACCATAGCATTCAAGCCAGGATGTTCGATGTAAAAATTTTCTAATGCTTGAATTGCAATTTTCAAGAAAATGAATAATCCTTAACGTGGAAATCATTGATGTGTGTAAAACAAATAAAATTTGAAAATTAGAAAATGATATTTTTTTTAAAGATTTATTTAAACCATTAATTTTACTTTTTCTTAGAAAGGACTATCATTTACATCCATCTTTGGATGGATGGTTTATGCCTCGGGGGATACAAATGTTGCAATGCGCCCCCTAATGCCTATAACACTTTCCCCTAAGATAATAATCGCAAAATAAAGGATTGACATGGTATTGAAGGTGAATATAAAACATTTTATTAAAATTATCTAACTCAACAACTTTTCAAAATACAACAATTGTAGTTAGCAAGAGTTGTAATGGGTATATTCACTAGAAACATCAATCTTTTAAGTAAACATCCTATGTAGAGGTAGCCATGGTCATTAACGCCTCGTATGATTGAAACTATCAGCAAAGGAGGGGTTTTTAGTCCTTCCATTGAGGGTACAGTTGAGATCATTACAAAAGGAATGGGTATTCGCATATTGATGTATTGCGACGCTTACTTAACAGATGCATTTGTCATGTGGGGATTGTTTTAAAACCTGGATGGCCGAAATTGGCGATCTAGATTAGTTTGGATCAGTTTGGCACACCAAAGAAAAATTAAATATATATATTTTTTGAAGGATTTTAGTTTGTAAAAAAATGGACAACTAATTTACTAATTTGATGATAATGTAAAAAGGGATTGGACCGTTTACTTTTGGTTCCCTCATTTTTAGGCATTGGATATGAAAAATTGAAGTGTATCACAACATTCAAGAAAGTTTAATTTGGACCTTGTGCCAACTTGATGATACATCCCGAATGACATAATCTCACATCTAATGGTCAATAATAATTGTGAGCTCCTTATACTAAAAGTAAATAGTCTTATTGTATATATTTCCTTATGAAACGCACCATACCTATTTTCTTGTTCGCATCTCTCGGCACATGCTTGAATCTTGCGCATGTGGTGTATGCGCTTGTGTTCTTTGTCAACTCCAAAGGATAGGCAAGAACCAGATACTTGCTCACAAAAGAGGCGAAAATCCAATTGATTAATACCCGGGGGGGGGGGAAGTAGCCGACCCTCTTAGACCACTCGACTTATATGAATACCGGGGGATGCCCATGTGACGAATCTCATGTTTCTTTGAAGATACTCAGTGTCCTGTGATTAATATGAATATACAAGCTTGTCTTATATAGACAAATACAAATGATAATATATACTTTCTTTCCACACTCCCCCTCAAATCCAAGATGCCATGAAAGAAGGCAGCTGGTGCTTGAACACTGAGTTGTAGAAACGAGCAATTGGATCTTCAGGTGTATACTCAGATTGCTTGATCAACAAGTACATAGGAACAATAAGAGGCTCAAATAATGACAGATCAACAAGCCTCAGAAACAAAAAGCTTAAACAAAACAGGCTTGAATAACAACCGAGACAACCAAGAAAATAGAAAGACACTTGGAAGAACCAATAAAACTCGGTGGAATTCGAAACCGATTTAGTAGGTCGTAGACAGACAGACATGATCGAGTAATAAGAAAACATATTCAATCATACATAAAAGAATATGATCGAGTAGCAGACTCGATTGTATAACAATGATCACATCAAAGATGAATCTAACTCTGATACCATGTGAAGAGTCTCATATTAGTCTCAATGTCCATTGATAAATACAAATGACAATATATACTTTCTTTTCACAGACCACTCACCCTTAACAGTCTATGGGAAGATTCAGACATGTATTCAACACTTTTCCTCTCGAGAATTTAGCCGCATCTTGAAGGAAAGCACGAGTTGACATTAGAACCCAAGCGATTCGACAAGTGGTGGAGTCGACTCAACCAACGTCGAATTTCCGGTTTTGATCCTCATTTGGGGTCTCGCAATTTTTTTTTTTGCTTTTTTTGGGCGTTTTCTAGGGCTTAGTTGCCCTGGGGCTTCTGGGAAATTTTTGGATTTTTAGGTGATTTTCAAATTTCTAGTTGAATATCAATTGGTAGCCTCCAGAAATTTCGTAGAAGTTCAAGATCTTTCTAGATACTTGGGGGAAGGTTTTGGATCAGTTATTGGATGGATTTTGAATTGGATTTAACTGATTCAACCCTAGGGTCCTAATCCCAAACTAATTGGAAGTTCTAATCGTAATTAGATTAGTGCCATAATTGGAGCATGTATAAACCCCCCTCTAGTTCTTTTTAGAACTCAGACCTTTGAGCCTTTGATAGTCTTAAAATCCCTAGAAAATTTTAGAAAAACAACCAAAATCCCTAGAACAAAAATCTTAGAAATTCCTTAGGCTAGGAAAAGCCAGTAGTTATGAAACCATAAAAACTTAGGTGATCTAACCCTAAGCCAATTCTCTACGACAGTAATTCTTTACAATACTCAAAATTCTAATCCATGACCCTTAGGAAGTAAAACAAATTAAAAACCCTATGATGAACATGCCCTAAGCACCTTTATTCAACATAAGCTTTATGGTAGAAGATGAAGGCACTTTAATCGCTTGTTTAATCCGGGATACCGACTTGGGTACCGAGACAGAGGGATCGAATTCAAAGTAATATTTCTTTTATATAATTTTTAGTTGTTTTTAATTTCTGTTCGGATTTCTCTACAAATTTTGTATGATTTCAAGGCAGCTCTGCCAGTGGCTCTTAGAGAATTCTAATCTCGAGAGATTAGAATCTATCTTTAAACCTCTACAATAAATTTTAACACTTTAAAGTATAAATTTGGATATGTTTCATCTGAGATATTTTCTAATTTGCACTGTAAACTCCTTTCAAGAATTATGCATTTACTTGAAAAAGTGGAACACTATCTCACACTATGCAGGGTCCAACATTTGGACTTGGCGGGTCGGGTTTGGGTCTAAAATCTAGACCCGAACACTATTTGGGTATGGTTGGACCCGACTAGTAGCCACCCATATTCGCAAATTGTTGGAGATAAAATACATCAAGCTTGATTCGTTCGGGTGTATTAATGATCGTATACAATAAGAATTCGTAATCATTTTTAGCCATGAAACGACAAGTCAGACGGCTTGAAATCTAATGGCAGATGCTTGTGACCTTGTTGCCAATAATATAAGTATATTGCGGTAAAAAAAAAAACAAAAAAAAAAGAAGCTCATAATGAGGGTGACAATGGACACGACCAGATCTAGGACCCGACAATTACGAATATGGGTCTAACTTTTGAACTCGACGGAATACAAAACTTGGATCCGAATACTATTCAGGTTTAGATCCAGGCGGACCCAACCCGTACCCGACTAGTGCTGCCCCTAATCTTACTTAAAGAAAATATGCAAAAGCATTGGATGAAGTGGTTGCTTTAGTACTCTTATGTGAGAAAAAGAAGAGAAAGATGGGGGTTTCGAAATGGGGTTAGAGAGAGAAAGGGATTAGGGTGGTGACAATGCTAGTGCCTAAATTTAGGGTTTTGCAGGGGTGACAATATGTAGTTTCCCCTTATTTTTTGGTACCCACTTTGTCTTCCATGAAAAAGGATGGGGTAACGAGTTATCCATTTCGTCATCATGCGGTATTCAGTTGGGAGAAACGAGGTGTGCATGGAGATGTGTTATAACAAGCTCATCGCCACCGTCCGTTGATTCTCCTCGGCATTGTAATGCCGATCATCGCTAACAGCCTTAAAGAGGAATTAAAGCGTGGATTCAAGCACCATAAATATAAAGCTGTTGCTCTTGTGCACAGCATCTGTTAAGGAAATGGTTTGATAGGGCTGCAGCCATATCAAAATAAGTAGAGCCTCACCTCATTGCTTGTTGAAAATTGCAACTTAAAAAGTGTTGAAGACCTTGCTTGAATATTATGGTTAGTGAAAAAAAAAAAAATTCAAGCTCTAAAATTAATATATATTGTAATAAATTATCTGGATTGTTTATTTCACCCCAAAAATAAATGTTCAGATGTCCTACAAATCTTTGAGTTTTGAATTTTATTGTTAGTGTTGAAAATTGATTTAAGGCCATCATATAGATTCTGTTGCTAAAAGTGCTTTCACATTTTGATGTGAGGCTTTATTTTGTTTTCATAGGACCTAGGCCTTATAGAACCTTCATTATCTCACTCGGGTGCTATAAAACCCTTGCTCTTGTGCAAAGTACTAGTTAATCTCTCTCTCTCTCCTCTTCACTGTCATGGAAGAAACAAAGTTTGAGTATTCATTGGAAATGGGCCACAAGAGCCTATTACAAACAGACGATTTGTATAAGGTTCTCTCTCTCTAAACTCTATTCCTTGTTGTAATTTTTTCTTTTTACAAAGAATATTGAATATTATTGTATCAAAAGAGGATTCCTTGTTATAAGTCTTGCTCTTTAGAATGTATCATCGAGATAGTTCTAAGATATTGTAGAATTTTTTTTTCTCAATAAGTTATTTGTTCCAAAACATTTTTGAAATGAAGTTTTATAGAACAATTGGAAACTGAAAGAAGAGAAGAGAAAAAAAGGAGGAAAATTGTAATATTATTGATAGAATATTAAACTTTAGTTTGGAACTTTTTTTTTAAAATAGGGTGCAGTTTGCATGGAGCCGAGGCTCTAAACAACCAAAATAAAACACACTTTCAAATAGTATCGAGAAATGTGGTTTCAATATTGGAAATCCTTGTAATTATCTTAAAACATATTTTCATCTTTAATTATAAAATTTAAAGCTTAAAAAATAGTGTAGATTGAGTAGATCTATGAAAACTTGAAAATCTTGAAAATTGACGGTCCAAAAATGTGTCAAGATGCACTATTTTCAAAACTTTAAATCCATTTTTTTTATGTCCATGCATCTTGATGTCGAGATGATCAATTTGAGGATATTTGGGCATCAAAACAACCTCTTCTTGAGGTGTGCTCTAATTTGATTGTTTAGAGCCTCGGCTCTATATTAATTTTTTCAAATATGCCTAATGAAAATTTAAAATAGGGGGATAATCTTGTGAAAATATATGACATCTTTATTTCAAAAAGGGTGTGGTTTGTATGAGGCTAAGGCTCTAAACTATCAAAGGTGTACCTTCGAATAGTGTTGAAAGATATTGTTTCAGTAATGAAAATTTATTTTCAACTCTAGTTATAAAATCTAAAGCTTTAAAACTAATGTCGATCAAGCAAATCTAGAAAAACTTGAAAATCTTAAAAATAGAGCATTACAAGATACAATATTTCTATTATTTGAAATCTATTTTTTCTTATGTCTATGCATCTTGAGGTCGAGATGATCAATGTGAGGATTTTTGGGCATCAAAATAACCTCTTCTAGTGAATTTTTGAGGTGCGCCTTACTTTGATTGTTGAGGGCGTCATCCTTATATAAACGTTTTCCTTTTAAAAAATATGTCAGATTTGAAACAAATGGGCTCAATTTGTCATTTATCCCTACTCCATAAATTTATGTTAGAAATCATAAAAGAGACGAAGAGTTTCTCTTTTATCTCTCATGAAAAAGATGAAGGTAAATTTCAAGGGGTTGTATATAATGAGACCATTTACTTTTTGTATAGGGAGGTCACGATTATTTACGACCGTTCAATCTGAAATTTAATAGCTTGGGTGTGTCACAAAGTACAAAAAAATTTCTTTTGAAATTTGAACTTGGCCAATGAAATAAATGCAGCCACCCAATTTCACATCTAATGGTCTAGATTGATTTTGACCACCTTGTACTAAAGATAAATGGTCTCATTATTATACTTTCCTAAATTTTAAATATTGTGTGCATTTGAAATTTGTCACTTCCATACATATCCTTATTCAAATTATAAAAAGATTCTATGCTCATTTGGGAGCATATTTTGCTCAACCTCAAAAAAAAAATAAAGAAGAATGAAAAGTAATGACAAGATAGAAAAAGAACATGCAATGTACGTCCTTGAAAAAATAACAACCTAAATTTGAACACGTACCATCCATTTTTTGGGCAATTAGTTCAATTTGTTTAAGATCTCACGATCCATTTTTATTTCTATTTTTTTCAAATAATAATCTAAGAGTTCTAAAATTTCAAACTGAAAAAATACTCCTAAGTAACTCTTTTACCAGATGAATAAATGTACAGCGTGCTTCTGCGGGAGCATAGTGTACTCCTTCAAATTTCTTGGTGTACCCACTTTTAACTCCAACGAATCAACGATAGCGGTTGGCAAATCGGTTGCCCACAAAACAATCTATTTGTTTTGAATTTTTTTTTGGGGTTTTTTTTTTGTTTTTTGTTTTTTTCATTTGCGGGGTAAATCATTGGGAAATACAAGCCCCAACCCATTTTAAAAATAGTTAGTGGTTTTCAAATATATCATGACCTTGACCTTATTCCCAAGCAATCGGTCTGAGCTTTACAAAATTTAGGAGAATTACCCGCCAAATCTATGAATATTTTTAGGCCTCCAAAATCTTGGGATGTTGCCTCTTCAGCCGAGGGACCAACTTCAAAAACAAAGGAAAGTTTTTTTTTAAAAATTGCACTTTTTATGTTCTTGGTGAAAAGAATGTTGCGACTAACCACTCGAATTTTTTGGCATTAGATCTAGGTGTTTATTAACTCAAAATTCATGTTTATCTTTATGTTTTTGTAAATAACCATTTAGTGATCCCAAGATTTAAAAAAAAAAAAAAATTGTAAGAAACTCTTTTACCATAAGGAATAAGTGTACAGTATATGTCCCCGTGGGAGCATAGCATATGCTCCTTGAAATTCCTTCGTTTGCCCCTCTTTGACTCACATTAAGGAATTAGCAGATTAATTACCCATACCAACCACACAAACTATTAGATCACTGTTTGCTACATACTCCATTGGTGTATGGAATACCATATAGATTTCATTTCCTTTGTTTTACTCTCACTTAACTATTTATGGGATTGTCTACAAAGAGGCCATTTGTATTTTGTATGCGAAGGTCACAATCATTCTCACTCATTAGATGTCAAATTGGATGGCTTGGGATGAGTCGTGAAGTCCGAGAATTTTTCTTTTGGAACTTTGTATTTATTCAATAACACTCTTGCAATCACCCATTTTAAAATTTAAGGGATAAGAATGATTGTGACCGCCATATACAAAAGATAAATGGTCTTTTTATAGATAATTTTTATTTATTTTTTATTTTTTTAAAATAAATAATTTGTTCTTATTTTCTTAATAAAATAATGGATGAGTATTTATTTCCCCAGTATATCTTGGAAACAAGCGTTTTCCCTCGTGAACCAGAGTTGCTTAAAGAACTCAGAACTGCTAACGAAGGCCACCCAATGTGAGTCCTCGTCCATTTCTCTCTTTCTTTTGACTTGCTTGCTTGTGTTATATGTCTTAGCATTCAAAAAAATCAACTCGGCCGAGTCATGACACATTGATATGTCCCGTAGTGTAGTTAAATGGCATTTGGTTTTGTCTAGCTTGTTAAAGTGTACTATGATCCACATCATAATATTAGTGTGGTTGTTTAAATCGTGATTAGTTGGGAAAAAGCTTTATTGAAGATGATGATGTTTAGATCGCAACGTCTAATTAGTTGGCTGATGGTGATGGGAAAAGAGTGAGACTTACAACTTAATTGCTATCATTTATATTGTAACCTGCTCTCTCTCTCTATATCACCATTAGCTGTCTTGATGGATGGTGATGATCTTTGTGACCATACGGTCTCTATGGTCATATGAATCCTTGTATTCTCACCCTTCTTCCCTTGTTTTCTTAACTGGTTGAGGCAACAACATATGTAGGCTTGTATACAATGGGGAAATTAATTTATATATCCCTTTTGTTAGGGATATTAAAAAATGTATTTAAAATTTTCAATTTCATGAAGATGTTCCTTTGTCTTCTAACGTAATTTTCCTTTTCCAAAACACCTTTAGTTTTGATACTTAGAATACCGAACGAAGATTGTAGCTTCAAAATTGTAAAAAATAATATTCGGTACTTTTGAGTGCCTAATAGTTTCTTGGCTTAATGTTTTAAATTGATACTTACCAAACAATTGTTTTTTTTTTTTTTTAATTATAAATAAAAACTAGTTCTATACTATCAATTATCAAACATATTCTTTTTTTTCCTTAGAGAATCAAGTCTGGTATTATCAGTACAAAACAAAATATTATTTTTAAAAAAAAACCAGCTGGATTACAACCTTAGTTTGGTATTCTACGTACTAAACCTCAAGGCATTTTGGAAAAAATAATTAGTTGGAAAAATGGGAATTTTTTTTTTCAAATTATTATTTTTTTTGATATTTTTAAAATATCTGTAAAAATAAGAGATATTTATGTTAATTTCCCTGCATAATGAATGCAGTAAATTTACTTTAGGGAAAACACATCACTATAGCCGCAAGAATTTTGACTGGAAACCACTAAGGTCATGTGGTTTTCCTTGACAGTAAAAGATCTGCACTTATTAATTCTTCTCCAAAAATATAATATGATGCATAGTATCACCTTATATACATGAGTTAATGTACACAATAACAGGGCATATTTATTGTATGACGCATTGTCTCACTTTATAAACAAGATAGCCAAATGGATCATAGATATTCTTCCTCTTTCCTTATTTGCATTTACAAATGGACAACCTTTATATAAGGTGTCAACGTCAACCCATTGGGAAAGGTTGGTCTGGCACTAGAAAACCGTCTAATTGATCATCTCGGCCCATATATATATATATATATATATATATAGAAGAAATGAATTTTATGCATTAAAAATAGTACATCTTGTAGCACATTATCTAAATCATCCCAATATTTTTGAGTGATTCATAGATATGTTAGATCTACATTATTTTTGGAGCTTTAAATTTCATAATAGGGGTGAAAAATAGATTTTTAAGCCATCACAAGAGTTTCGACACGGAAATTGCATCTTTAATGACGTTTGTTGTGCAAACTTCACCGAAATTGCACTGTGATTGTTTAGAGTTGACAACTTATATCAAATCTCACCCTTCACAAATATATTGAGTATTGTATAAACTAATTTTCAACTTATCTGTTTGGATGAGCAGGGGTGTGATGGGTGTTCCCCCTGATGAAGGCCAGTTTATACAAATGATTTTGAAACTGGTTAATGCAAAGAAGACCATTGAGGTTGGAGTTTTCACTGGATATTCCCTACTTGAAACTGCTCTGGCCTTGCCTGAGGATGGCCAAGTATTTATTCTTCTCATTTTTTCTCGTTCTCATATTCTTCCCACTTTGCATTTCTCAATTTTGTTTTCCTTATATGATCCCACTTATGTATAGCACACTTTAATCATCAGTTATCGCCAACCTAAGAGCATTAAAAAAATAAAAAAATAAAATAGTGCCAAGAACAACTATTAAAAAAAGGGTGTGGTTTCTATAAGGTTACAACCCTAAACAATCCAATTAAGGCGCACCTCCAAATTTTAATATAACATGTAATTTTGGTGTAAAAAATTATTAGGATTATGTCAAAATCTATTTTTATATTTAATTATAAAATTTTAAACTCCAAAAATGGTTAAAATCTAGTTGATCTATAAACTTATGAAAATCTTGAAAAGAAAGAGACACCCACAATTGGACGGCATACATAATGCATTACAAGTTGTGCTATTTGCAAGACTTGAAGTCCCCCTTTTTTGTTTTTATGTATATGTATTTCAAGGTCAAGATGATCAGATTTGAGGGGCTTACAGCATCGAAACAACTTCTTCAACTGAATTTTTGTGGTGCACTTTAGTTTGATTGTTTAGGGCCTCAAGCTTGTATGTAAACTTTTTCCATAAAAGAATGCTATATTGTGATGAATATTAGTTTTAATAAATGTTAGCAGTCAGTTTCCTTCATTGTTTGCCATAGTTTAACACTTTCGGCTTGAGAACTGATGTTCATACATTGTAACAAAATGATAAAATGTACATAAATTTCAGATAACAGCGATAGATGTTGATAAGAAAGCATACGAAGAAATTGGATTGCCCATCATCCGAAGAGCTGGTGTCGAACACAAGATCAACTTTGTCCAATCCCCTGCTCTACCCTTCTTGGATGAATTGTTGGAGGATGTGAGTCTCTCTTGCTCTCTGTCAAGCGTACATGCATACACACACATCGGTAAAATTTAACAAATTTATTCCTTATGCAGCCAAAGAATGAAGGATCCTATGACTTTGCATTTGTGGATGCTGATAAGAACAATTATTCAAATTACCATGAGAGATTGTTGAAGCTGGTAAAGGTGGGGGGGGTTATCGTGTATGATAACACACTATGGGGTGGCAGTGTTGCTAAGGACGAGTCTTTAGTTGAAGAATACATGAAGTACTTCAGACAGTTCGTCATGAAATTCAACCAAATTCTAGCCACTGATCGACGCATCGAGATCTCGCAAATTCCTGTTGCTGATGGAGTTACAATTTGCCGGAGGCTCTGTTGATCTTTTCTCAAGTGCTACATGAAGTACTACTTTTGATTTTGGTGCTCATGGTTTTAAGCATGAAATGATCCTTTAGTTTGGAAGGCAAAGCAGTAGGTGTTCTGCTGTAAGTTGGTCTGGGATGTTTACGAGGCAATCTTTCCTACCAGGACTCTGTTCTTTTTTGCATGTTGACTTAGCAGGGAGTGCTATGACCTTGCCTATGAATAAATCATGAGACTTCTTGCCATTTATTTGTTTTTTGGTGGATGTAAGTGGATTTCAATAAGCTAAAAAATGATAAGATTAGTACTATAAGATAATTTCTTTGTGGGAATGAAGCAGGTTTACAGTAAAAAGTAAAGCTGTGCCTTAAAACCCCGTTAGAAAATGTCGTTTTGGTGCGTAAGACCATCAATTTGGTTATCACAACCCCAACAAAGTTAAAAAGAATGTATCTTGCAATACATTATCTAGACCATATATTTTCAAGTATTCATAGATCCGTTCAAACTATTTTTGGAGATTCAAATTTCATAATCAGAAACAGAGATATAACTTTTTATGCTATGTAAGGATTTTCATGACTTGGGACTGCGTCTGTGGCATTCGGCTTTACCTTTTAACGTAAAAACCTACACCTAAAAATCTACACCTTATGCGAACTGCACCCTTTATATTTGTGCCATCTGCATATATAAGTTAACTTGTCAAATCTGCGTGATAACAGAATTGAAGTTTTCTTTTCAATACAGGAAATCAAGAATGTGGCCATACCTCCAATAAAGGAAAGGTTTTAGGTTTTGTGTGTCCATCCTATCTTCCTTCATCATGGATAGTGCAATTTCTACTGGTGACTGGGGACCATCAATTTGATGAAATCAACGGTAGGTAATGTTCTTGATAGATTTTGTTATGGAAACTCTGCCTCTACAACCCATACTTTGGTTCCTTATTCACCCATTACACAAGAAAAGAAAGAGACACCCACAATTGGCAAAGTAGCCGAAAGCAGTGTTCAGAAACTCGGTTGAGTACTGGGGTAAAACTCGGGCTGATTAAAAAAGATAAAACATTAGATTGTGGAATCAATGTATCAATATTTTATATGAAATCTGAAATTTTTTTATAATGATTTGAGAGATTTTCTTGTCGTATGAGATATTTTTATATTTTTCTCCATTTTTTTTTATAGATGTTTTGATATAAAGAAAAAGCAGGACATGAATTTGTTTTAAACAAATGATAATGAACCTAGGTTGATTCAGACCTTAGGCCAAAGAAAAACAAAACAAATTCGCTGCAATACTTGGAGTTCCAAACCCATCTCGGTCAAGAGAATAAAAGCAAATTCCTATAGTTCACGTGCTTGACCATGGAAGGCCTTTGCACTCAAGGAATTAGATGCAAAGAAAAACAGCACTAAAGGATTTTGGGGGGCACCCAAAAAGAAATGGGTGAGGTTTAAAATTTGCTTTGAAATGCAGTTTAGAAATCCTGTAAGAGGATGGAAATCTATTTTTATCTCTATTTATGGAATTTAAAATTTTTAAAATAGTGTGAATCAAGCATCAGATCTATAGCCACTTAAAATTTTTGAAAATAGATTAGGGTAATTTGTTACAAGATACTTCAAATTTTATTTTTATTCATATCCAAACATCTCGAAGTCGAAAAGATTGAGTGAGAGATATATATTTCACTCAAAAGCTCATGAGAGATAGAGAGAGAGATAAATTCCTCTCAAAAACTCATGAGAAAGAGAGATTTCTACATCTATGAAAGGCTCATAAAAGTAAGATGTTTGGGTGTGAGAGACCCTCTCTCATTTCTGAAATTTACCAACCAACAGGAAACAGATCAAACGTGATAATCGGAGGGAGAACTATTTATTTACTGAGATAATCTCTGCCGTTGGTTGATCTGCTTCGTAGTCGTTGCACCGTTCATCCGTAACGGCTTGAGACCTAGTTCTTGAATCTTAGTTGGGGGCGAATATATTGTGCGGATCCCTCTCTGTGTCATACCACGCCGTTCATCTTAGAATCCCCTGCTCATAAGCATCATCTCTCTATTGATCTTTCGCACCGGAAAATACGGGAGATGACACTCCAAAAATGGATTATCTTTTTCAATCAGGTCACAAGACCCTGTTATAGTAAGATGCCTTATATTAGGTACCCCTTTTTTCTCTCTCTCGCTTGCTCTGTATGCTCTTGATTGGATGGTTGAGAGCGAAATGAAATTATAAAATTGCTCTGTATGCTCTTGATTGGATGGTTGAGAGCGAAATGAAATTATAAAGACGTGTGAAATTATATATTCACATTTATCAAAAATAAAAAAAAATAAATGAAAAAAATAAAATTAGCAAAACAACCCCCTGAGAGGTATTTGATTTATTTTATTTTATGTATTTTTTAGGTGCACGGTGATAAGTACTAAATAAAACTAAAACTTTCTAAAGATATCGGACATTTGAGATTCATTGTTTTTTAACTCGCCTAAAGTCTTGGACTCAGTCCTTGTCCGAGGCGAGTAACTTAGAGTCCGCTGAGTAGAATACATGGCGTAAACAGCCCTAAACAAAGTTTAAAAAAATTGTTTGAAAAGAAAATTTAAATGGTAAAAGTGAAACAAAACCGAAGCTAACATAAAAAGTCCAGAATAGCTAAACGAACTAAATAAAACATAGATTTAGAAAAAATTGATTTATGATTGGAGACGTTTTTTTTAAAAAAATCTAAAAATAATAACACGAATATTTCTGATATATTTATCAAACCGCGCTCAAGAGATTCATTATTTAAAGGAAAAAGTTTACGTAAAGTTGTTATAGATTAAGGTGCTCCTAAAAAATCCATCGAAAAAAAGTTGTTTTCATGTTGAAAAATCATTTTGATATTGACATGTTTGAATATATAAAAAAACATATTTTTGAGTCCCAAAAATATGGTATCTTGCAATGAATTCTCAAGACTATTTATTTTCGAGATTTTCAGGTGTTCACAGATACACTTGATTTTAGCCAATTTTAAGAGTCTAAAATTTTATAATTAGTTATAAATATGGATTTTTTGGTCATCCTAAGAATTCTTAGCACCAAAATTACACCTTATGATAAAATTTGGAGGTGTGCCTTATTTTGATTGTTTAAGGGCTGCAACTTTATGCGAACTACACCCTTGTTTAATAGTGGCAAATTATCAAATGACTCATAAAAGATGAACAATTTAACACTTTACCCGTATCTTTTGATTAGCTTCAAAATGAAAAAACACAAGACATTGAGTTGAAATAGTTGCAAATAGGTAAAATACAAAATATGTTATTATGGATATTTTGATAAATTTCCCTCGAATATTTCTCTTAAAGGCTTTTTAAAATTAGGACAAATTAAGTAATACATCTCTTGAAGATGGTTTGATAAATTTCCTCTATTTTCTGAATAATAAAAATCATAACCAAATAAAATAATGAATCCAAAAGTGTCATATTCCTTGTCTTAGCTAGGAATGGCACTGCACTAAGGGAAAAGTTTTTATAGAACCTAGGCTCTAAACAATCAAATTAGAGCCCACCTCAAAACTTTCACTAGAAGAGGTTGTTTTGATGCCCAAATACCATCAAATTGATCATATCAGCATCAAGATGCATGGATATGAGAAAAAAATGGATTTCAAGTTTTGAAAATAGTGCATCTTGTAGATCATTAATTTTCAAGATTTTTAAGTTTTTATAGATTTACTGTATGTACACTATTTTTGAAGCTTTAAATTTTATAACTAAAAATGAAAATATAATTTAAGGCTATCCCACAAATTTCAAATATTAAAACCATATTTCTCGATACTATTTGAAGGTATGTTCTAATTTGATTACTTAGAGCCTCGGCTCTATACAAACCGCACCCCTGCACTAATAGGTGTGATGCTCAATGGAGAATAAAGATGGATTTAGAGAGCATCTCTTTCCAAATACAATATAATTGCTACTCATAAGGGATGTTTAGCGTATCTACA